GTGGTATTCACTTACTTTCCCTACTGGTTCGCAAATGTGAGCATGCGTGCCTCTGTGCATGAGTACAGCCTTCCACGCATGTGCTTTTGGTGAAAAAAGGGCCTAAACGGGATGCAATAGAGCTGGGGCAGGTGGGCAGGGCCACCCGCAATTTCGGCCGAACCTATCCAAACTGGTAGAATACCACCTCTGACTGCCTTCCCTTACAGATAGGAAATGGCTACTGGTGCTTTGCATTCCACGTACAACAATTCGTGTGTGTGTGTGTGTGTGTGTGTCTGGAAATCTCTGCTCCATTTCTTTTCCATTTAGATCATATAATCTTTCATTTTATATATTACATGTTATAGAACAAACTGCAAATAGGCAAGTCAACTTACAAATCAAAGACTAAGTAATGAAATCCTTCTTCTGATATGCTTTCATGAAGTCGCACTGTTGAAAGAAGAGAAAGATTTGTCTAGTTTTTTTTATAGGTACTCTTATCTTTATTATCCCTTCCTTCTACCGTTCTGTTAATGCACAATATTCTACAATACTCTTTTTCCTTGGGTCACACATCTTCAGTTGACAACAAGGCTGTCATACAAAACAGATACGTTTGCAGTTTCTTAGCATAATTCTGTAAATAGTATAGATTAACACCCACTATATCCATATGCCTTTTACATTCATACATTTTTGCAAATTAAATTTCAGTTTTGATAGCTATGTGCAGGCCCTGAGTAAGTCAATCAATTAAAAGAAAGAAAATGTTTTTTCTGAACCTATTAAAGAAAAATCAGCATATACAATGTTTCAAGTGTCAACAAATACTGGGTAGCAAACAGAATAAAATGGTCAACCATTACTTTGAAAATGAATATATGCAAATGAAATAATACAATAACCAAGGCTCATTCTCTTTTACAGACTTCATAATCTATCAAAAATACTTTGTTTTAGCTAGAAAGGAATAGATGCGGAACTCAGAATATTTTGTTTCAGGTCAGAAAACCAGTCAGTGCATAAAGTGGTGGGATTCAAAATTTTTTACTGCCAGTTCTGTGGGGGGGTGGCTTGGTGAGCATGGCAAGGGAAGGATATTGTAAGGATATCCCGCCACACTCTAGGGCAGTGGTTCCCAAACTTGGCAACTTTAAGACTTGTGGACTTCAACTCCCAGAATTCTCCAGCCAGAGAATTCTGGGAGTTGAAGTCCACAAGTCTTAAAGTTGCCAAGTTTGGGAACCACTGCTCTAGGGGAAGGTTACTGCAAAGTCCCCATTTCCTGCTGATCAGCTGGGACTTGGGAGGCAGAGAATAGATGGGGGTGGGGCCAGTCAGAGGTGGTATTTACCAGTTCTTTGAACTACTCAAAATTTCTAGTACCGGTTCTCCAGAACTGGCCAGAACCTGCTGAATACCACCTCTGAGTGCATGGTAGTTTATACTGACAGAAGATCTACTATACCGAAAGGTAGTTTAACCATACATTTCCATTTTTCAAGTTCAAGCTTGAAATGACTTAAGCCTTAGTTCAAAACATATTTCTGAGAATTGAAACCAATAGTCTGACCTTCTAAGGGAACAATTAGTTTTATCAAGTATCCATTTGACTCATAGGTAGAAATGCACACATTTCACTTACAAAAACCTCTTCTATTTAAGTGACTACTTCTTTAGGGTCAGTGGAATTTTTGCACTAGCAGAAAATCATTTTGCTTTGCTTGAAAGCTGGACCAGCAATGCATTCACAGCCAGACCGTCCCATAATGAATAATTCTTCAATAAATAACATTTGGCCACAGAGAACTGCCAGTTTATATCCTGCACTTGATGGTTTTTTAACCATCACCGCAATCATTATCACCTCTTCAGTTAACCATATTCTTACTTTGGAATAGGTACTATTTTGTTTCAGAAAATAACACTGTATTTTAAAAGTAAAAATAAAACACTGAGAACCTGTAACTTACGTTTAACCACCCCCTCTCAACTATACATATTATTAAAAAAGGAGGCGAAAGAAACATACTGTGGCAAGCACCATAGGTTGGACTTCTTTGCTTTCACCATGTCACTTTGAATTATAATTTAGATTCCCAACTATATTGGAATACTGTCTTGAATACAGGCATTTTACTGTCTTCGATAGTCCAAATAATATGTTCCCTTAATCCTATGACTGTAGGGAAAAATTAAGCTTTCTTGTATCCTATTATAAACCACTTAACTTATTTCACTATAATTTCTAAGCTATTTTTGTTTGTGACTAATATCTAAATCATCTGTACCCAACTTAACTAGTTTGTTAATCAGAATTTCATGCAATATTTGACAAATCTTTTCTTGTTAATGCATTTTAACACAGATTCAGCAAAGCAAGAACAGGTATAGAGAAAGGAAATAAGGACAACCAGGAGATTACTAAACTAAATTTTATAGGGTGAGATTGAGGAAACAGTGTTTGTTTACCCTTTTAGGAAATAAAAATCTTCAATAGTAGATCAGTTTAGGAGGGATTATAGAGGGATCAATTGGGAAGGTAGTGATAAGTTCCTATACACGTAGACTGGATGAGGGAATGCTAGACAGCCATCCATCCAAAATGTTTTTGTTGAGATTTCAGTATTGAAAAGGGGTTTGAAATCAATAAACTTGCAAGCACTTCAATGACCCTCTAAAAGGATGCAAATTACCAGCTGTCTGCAAAGAATATATAAATCCTTCCATTCCCCACCATCCAGTCAGAGCTGAAGAAGCTTTTTGGATGAGAAGTGAAACAGCTTCAAAAGAAAAACAAGAAAGTCCAGTTTCCTCCTGAAAAAGCACCTTTGGGACAACCATGACCTGGATGACTGAGAATCTCTACAGACTTTTAGTTACACAATTTGGGATGAGCACCCTTTGAATGGTGTGGGAGTAGGAATGGGTTGCCAGAGGGGAAAAATTGCAGACTATAGGAACCAGGAGTGACCCTGAGGACATAGATAAACCTCCAAGTACTTCAAAGACCCTCTAAAAGGATGCAAATGACCAGCTGTCTGCAAAGAATATAAAGCCTTCCATTCCCCACTATCCTGTCAGAGCGAAATGTCTTCAAAGAAAAACAAGAAAGTCCAGTTTCCTCCTGAAAAAGCACCTTTGAGACAACCATAACTTGGATGACTGAGAACCTCTACAGGCTTTTGGAATCAATAGCATAAATAACCTCCACAGTGACTGCAGGATTCTATGGACATGTGAAAACATAACAGACTTGCCTTTGGTTAGATGGTCTGTTATGCAAATCTGATTAATAAAGACAAAAAATCAATACTGTGTTCTCCCATTATTTTTCCATTGTGAAAGTTTTAAAGGAGGCCCTTTAAAGTGCACGTAAGTTGAATCCAAGAATGCTATTATATTAGTGACAAGCTTCTAATACTTATTTTCTATCCTTGTGTGCAAAGGCAAAATCAATACTGATTCTGCTAAAACAAGATGCTGCACAATTCATTACCACTCCATTATGCAAACTGTAACCGATGCTACTTGTTCTTTTAGCCCATGCATCAATATTAATGGTATCTTTTCTATTTTTTTTTTCCTACTAGCCTATACAGCTTTAGTTCGTGGTAATAAATCTTAAAGACTATGAAAAGTTTAAAACAATGATAAAACAATTAGCACTTTTTGTCTTGTCTTTTGAAACAAGAACAATCTGCTCTTGTGTAAATTAATGTTTTGCATTTCATTAAGCTTTAAAATTTATTTTCCTTTTTTTTTTTTTTTGCTCATTTTGTTTAAGAAATAAATGTATACCAAAATAAGAGCTTGGGCCAGTGGTGCAATTCAGTGGTGCTATCTGGTTCGGTCAAACCAGTAGCGACGGTGGCGGGAGGCATCGCCCTCCCACCCGGATATCATCACATCCCATTTTTGATGCTCTGCACATACCCGGAAGGTCCCATTTGCGAACTAGTAGCGAAGGTAAGTTGATTTCACCCCTGGCTTGGGCATTCTCTATGAGCATTCCATTTTAAAGTAGCTAATGACATAATTTATATTATTAGTGTAACTAAACAAACTATAATAGTAAAAACTTGAAAAAAAACAAGCATGGATGTAAATGATAATGTACAGGCAGTGACAAAGTTCAGTTCTGAAGTTCTTCCTATCCTAAAGTGTTGTGCCGTGTGTTTACAAATGAGATTTCTCTAACATAGGGCTGAAACCAATCATCTTATTTGGTTGTTTTTTTTTAAGGATGCTTTTGGGGTTTAAATTAGGCTGAAAAGCTTTTGTTTAAAAAATGGTTCTGGTGATAATGGCATCTACAGTTGAATGCTTCCTTCCTTTTTCTTTGCTTTTTAAAATTAAAAGAAGCTTTAAAGCATTAATTCAGGTTAGACAACTGGGTAAATAGTCATGCTACTGCCTACACATTCCATATTGCCTGCAACTGCTTTACTACATTGAATATATGTAGATGTCAGAGAGAGAAAGAAAAGAACGAAAAGGGGAAGGAGGTCAGAAGAAACAGTATTTGAAACAAAAGGGAAGGAAATGATTGCTGCTATATTTGGCACTACACTTCCAGTTGTCAAGACTGTGCAGTCAAGTTCCACACAAGTTTGTTAGAAACAGAAATTTTTCATTATCCTAGCAAGGGTTCCTAACATCAGCCAAGCTGATGGTTGGCAGAAGCAATTTTCAGCTTTGATTAATAGAAGACAGAGCTGATAGACATAAAGTTTGATTTTTAGTTGGCACCTTCAAACCATTTCCAATTCTGCATCTTCCACTGATCAATACTGATCAATCCACGAGGCCATCCCTGTGATGTCTCTCAAAACAGAGGATATATACTCTGTCTGAATTTACATTTCCCTAATTAACACATTTATTGGAAACATGGTATATTTATAACTTCAATTAATCCGTTTTACCATCATTGGGTTCCTCACTAAATCTTTTTTACTTAGTCATCGAAGATGAAAACAAACGCGACTTCTGAATGCCTTATTAATTCAAAAATCTAGCTACTTGAATTTCACAACAAAATTCCTTTATTTCAGGCTGATTTTAATTTTAAAAACAAATAATCTATTATTATTTGACAGTTTTTCAGATAAGAGATAACCTTAAGAATATGATACAGTATAGCCAAATGAAAGCAGGTTGAAACAGGAGATTCTAAAAGGAATATATGCATATATACTCTGTGTTTATGTGTGTGTGTGCGTGTGTTTGTGTAGATAGATGATAGATAGATAGATGATGGATGGATGGATGGATGGATGGATGGATGGACAGGATAGACAGACAGATGATAGGTTTAAAGACTGAAATCAAAATGACGAAGACTTACATTTTAAAAGAATAAAAATAATAATTAAAAACATAACTGAACAAGACGACTAAACATGCTTCAAAAACTGTATCTGGAACTTTTGTTTACTTGTGTCAGA